AATTGAGTCTTTTGATATGTGGTGGAAGAAAAAAAGTAAACTTGGAACCAAATCATATGTATATCCAGCTGCAAGATATTTAAATTTAGCTAAAAGCAATATGGGAAAATTTTATTCAAAATTCCCAAACAATTAGTATGAAGTTTGTCATTTGGCAAAACCTCAAGACTAGTTTTCATGACAAGAATGCGGTGCAAGGGCTGATTGATCTCTTTTTTTTTTTAATTGGTTTTGCAACAGGAGGGTTTGGGAGCTATCTTTTCGGAATGAGCCAACGGGTGGTCCAGCAATCACAACACTCAAGAGATGTTTACGACTACAAGAACCCGTCTCTCGGCTGGATGATTGGCTTTCTGTTTGTAGTTAGCTTCCTCGGCTTATTCTCTGTGGTCCCTCTTCGTAAGGTTATGATTTTACTAGTTCAAGTATCTGTGGTGTGGAAACTGAAAAATCTGAATACTAATTGTATGGAATGATTGGGCTTTTTCTTTTTATTGTTTCTACTTTCAGATTATGATCATAGATTTCAAGTTGACATATCCAAGTGGGACTGCAACAGCACATCTCATTAACAGCTTCCACACTCCTGAAGGAGCCAAACTAGCAAAGTAAGACATACCTAAATCATAATGTTTGCTCATTGGGATAATGACGATATTCCAAACTTGTTCACTTTCCAAACTTGTTCATTTTCTTGCATCTGTCAGAAAACAGGTTAAACAATTAGGCAAGTTTTTCTCCTTGAGCTTCTTGTGGGGATTCTTTCAGTGGTTCTTCACTGCCGGCGACAACTGCGGATTTGTTAACTTCCCAACTTTCGGACTAAAAGCATATGACTACAAGTAAGCACAAGTCCGGCAAAACTGCTTACTTCTCTAGTCGATTTTGACCCACAAGAAGTAGGAAAGTAAAATAGACCATAATTGATTCTGAACATTGAAAAAGGCTATATTATATCAATTATCAGGAAATCTTGATTGTTTCCAAAGCAGCAAGCAAAGAATTTTTATTGTTCATTCATATTCATTACAGGTTCTACTTTGATTTCTCGGCAACTTATGTTGGAGTGGGGATGATTTGCCCTCACATCATAAACGTATCTGTTCTAGTTGGAGGTATCCTATCTTGGGGTATTATGTGGCCACTTATTGGGACCAGAAGAGGTGATTGGTATTCTGCTGATCTATCTCCAAACAGTTTACAAGGGCTTCAAGGCTACAAGGTGTCATTTAATTACTTTCCTCGGCTCGTAACTCGTAAACAATCAATTAATTAACCTTCAAACATGCAGGTTTTTATCGGCATAGCCATGATACTTGGCGATGGCCTGTACAACTTCTTCAAGGTCCTCAGCCGTACAATAGCAGGCCTCTTCATCAAATTCCACGAAAGAAAGGCCAACGCTCGAATCCCGCTGACCGGAAACGGAAACTCTCCCAACAAGCCCCAAACTTACGACGACCAGAAACGAACCCAACTCTTCCTAAAGGACCAAATCCCGAATCCATTCGCCTTGGGCGGCTACATAGCCATAGCCGCCATATCCACCATAACCCTCCCCCACATATTCCCCCACCTCAAATGGTACCACATTGTCGTAATTTACACTTTCGCCCCTGCCCTCGCCTTCTGTAATGCATTCGGCTGCGGCCTCACTGACTGGTCCTTGGCCTCCACTTACGGCAAACTTGCCATCTTCACAGTCGGAGCCTGGGCTGGAGTCACCGGAGGAGGCATCCTAGCTGGCCTGGCGGCATGCGGTGTGATGATGAACATAGTCTCCACTGCCTCAGACCTAATGCAGGATTTCAAGACAGGCTACTTGACCTTGGCTTCACCTCGAGCCATGTTCTTGAGCCAAGTGATTGGAACAGCTATGGGTTGCGTGATATCTCCGTGCGTGTTTTGGGTTTTCTACCGGGCTTTTCCGGACCTCGGACTCCCCACGAGCGAATACCCGGCTCCCTTTGCCACTGTTTACTACAACATGGCTAAGTTGGGAGTTGAGGGTGTTTCGGAGCTTCCGGATAACTGTCTGAACCTGTGTTACGCGTTTTTCACGGCTGCCATTGTTGTTAACCTCATCAGGGACTGTCTGGGGAAAGAGAGGTCGTGGTTTATTCCACTCCCGATGGCAATGGCTATCCCGTTTTACTTGGGTTCGTATTTCGCCATCGACATGTGTGTTGGGAGTCTCATACTCTTTGTCTGGCAGAGGATGGACAGGGCTAAAGCGGATGCATTTGGGCCGGCTGTGGCTTCGGGCCTGATATGTGGTGACGGGATATGGACGCTGCCGAGTTCTGTACTGGCTCTGGCTGGGATTAAACCTCCCATCTGCATGAAGTTTTTGTCGAGGGCAACTAATAGTAGGGTCGATAAGATTTTAGGATCATAGGTCGAGTGATCACTTCTTACTATGGCTTTAGGTGTATCTATCTATTGTACTCGAATACGATGGTGCCTCAATGTACAATGTTCAATACCGGTGGTACTCATATAGTTCAAAAGTTGCCAATTTTGTCATCTGATTCAAGCTGAAGAGTAAAAGAAAACAAGCTGGATATGTGTTGTGGTCTGAACAAAATGATGTAAAGACAATAGTTTCTCCGATAATAGAGGAGTAAGTCGAGTGTCGAGCTTCAATCTAAATTTTCCAAGAAAGTGGTAGAATGGTTAATTTATAATTATGACATTGACACCAAGATTGAAATTTGATGATGGATCAGTCAAGGTATATGTAATCATTAATCTTGTGGAGCTTCATTCTAAATTTTCCAAGAAAGTGATAGAGAATGGATAATTTATAATTATGACAACAAGATTGAAATTTGATGATGGATTAGTCAAGGTACATGTAATCATTAATCTTGTGGAAATACTCATCTCAAAAACACACGGCTAATAGTGGATAATGCCATAAAACAACCTAAAACATGCATGAAACAAAACCAGAGCTAATACAAACACCACTAAACTTCAATTGCCCTTTGCTGCTCCCTCTTTTTCGTCCACATTGTTATCCTCTTCTTCCCCAGTAGCATCCTCTTCTCTGTCCTTACCGGCATCTTCTTCTCGTTTTGTATCCTTCTTTTCTTTGTCGTCAGTAGCATTCTCTTCCCGATTCTCTTCAGTAGTAGCATTCTCTTCCCGATTCTCTTCAGTATCCTCTTCTTGATCCTTGTCATAGACGACAGGCGGAAAATTAGCAAGCATTTCCATGAAACTTCCAATCTGCCCTGTCATAACTGCAAAGTTTGTGCCGGTCCTTGATCTATACTCACTGATGGCCTTCAGTTCTTTGGATAAGTACGTCTGCCTAATTCTTGATCCTACTGGGTAATCATCCTTCACCCAAAAATTACCCATCAAATCAGAATAACTTGAGCAGGAAGGACATTAATAGATGAAAAAACAACAACACAAATTCGAAAAGGAACATTACAATGTACCTCAGCAAGAGGCGATCCCTTGGACTCGATCGGCTTAAAAACAGTAATGTCTTCGATTTCCTCAGCTGGGTGCTTGTGATAGTACTCTCCCCCTTCGAAGCAGCCGATGCACAGCCTGAACTCCTGATCTTCCTCGTCACACTTCCTGCACGTGAAGTAGACGGCCGGCAGAATCTTTCCGCACCAGTGGCAGTTTCTCAGGCATCGGTCTCCGGCATACCATATGGCCAGGAACCGGTCGAAGCTCAATCTCCCGTAGGAATCGTCGGCAAACTGGTTGAAGTAGAGGAGATCACGGCCGACAAGCTCCGGGAATGCAACGTTTTTCAGCAGCAGGAGAGGGTCGATTCTCCCGAGGCCGTCACCGTCGAGCTGGGCAAAGGCCTCGACCAGGTGTGATTTATCGTCCTCCGGGAGCTTTTGGTACTGGATTTTGGCCATTTTTATGATTTCATCCATTGGAGCTTAGATATAGGGCTAACAGGGTTGCATATGAAGGAGGCAAATGTGTGTGTAATGTGTATATATAGCTGCTATTTTTGCTTGGGGATCAAGGATTTGTAGAATTTATTTTCCCTTCTTTATTTTCAATTGGAGTATTTAATATTGGCACCATGATCCTTCCAGAAGGACTTGCGGCTCTCTTTATTTATAGTTTTTTGTGTTCAATTTGCAAATAATGTACTATTAGCTGGGCTTTCCGTTTTTCCTTTTTTTTTGGGTCTTTTTTCTTCTCAAAGTTCATGCCATTGAGCAACTTGTTTCCATTCAATCAAAGTTGATTTGGAGAACCCATTGTAACAAGCAGTTATTATTAATGGTTCCTCGGTTTAATGGTTCCTCGTTTTATGTCAAAAGTTTGATATAAATGTGAATCTAATTCGGTAATTGGGTCACATAACAACCGAAGTTTTTGCCAAGTCTCTTTAAGTTCACTTCAAACTAGTATTCGATCCTGTACACATAGACAGAGGGAAACAAAAAATTATATATTATATGCACGTATATGATATTTAAAAATTTAAAGTAGATAGTGTATCGTATTTTAAAATCTTGAGTATATGTAAATGTATAGTAGAAATATAAATTATTTAACATTCACATAAATCATTTTTTTACAACTATAAAACATAACAGGAATATTAGCTATAAAATAATTTAATATTGTATATTTAGAAATTTTAAAATCTGGTAAAATTATTACAAAATAATAAAATTTAAATTGTGTAACTACCAATTGAATGTTGATCATAAAGATTTTTATTAAATGGAATCCTATTTTTATTAATTGCTGAGTGAATAAAATTTATTGTCATAAAGATTTTTATTAAATGAAGTTCTATTTTTATTAATTGCTAGCTGACTAAAATTTATTGAAGCTTGCCAGCAATTATATATATATAGATATAGATTTAGGTCTACTACGAATAAAATCTCAGAATTTTTTAATGCTCGACCAAACATTGTTGGGCGCTTAAATTCGTACACTCGATATTTAAGAGTTGTACAGCAAGCCTGAAGCCGTAAGCTTGCTCACAGGATGGAACTGTTTCGCCAAATATCCCCTTCATTTCATACTTGATTAAACCAGTGGTCAAATACGAATCAGATCATAATCTCAAGCTGTCCAATCTTCATCACTTTCACCGATGTCCTGAGGAAAAACGGTGGAGAATCAAGCGGTGCACAAGTAAAAGATAATATATTGGCCAAAGTCGATATGGACTGCACACATTCATCATGTTTGTTGATTGTTGATGCAACTACAGTTTAAAACCTACAATGTGTTGATACCTGCGATGTGCTGGAGAAATCTTCTATGTCATCATCTGAGGCCTACAAAACACATAAAATACAAGCAAAACTCAACATCATTTGAAGACGAATAATAAGGGAGGGTAGAAAATAAGAGCTCAAAAGGGGTCATTTAAGCAAGCATTGACGAATCCACTGTGCTTGAGATCCTATGGTGTGTATGAATAAGTGCCAAAATGAAAAAATGCAGACTTGCATCCAGCATCGGATTTGAACACAGTGAAGTAATCCAATCACTTTTGAGCAAACTAATCAATTGGCGATAAATGAACTGATTGCATGGTACAACCTAAGCTTGGTAAAAAGATGCAAAGTGAAACATGAATTTAGCCATGTCAAGGATAATGCTACAAGGTCATTGCCCAAAATATCATCCCTCTCCATATCATTTGGTAATTGGTATAATACAACTCTCTTAACGGATTATTATGCAAACTTTATATGAACCAGAATGCATAAGAAATCATGTGAAAAAACTAGCTCGATGAAGAACAGGGATCGATAGAAAAAGGACATTCTTATTGCCAAAAAAAAGGTATGAGCAAGATAGGAAATTGAGAATCAAGCAGTAAGGATAAAGAATTATGAGGGAACTTAAGTCATACCTGAGTGGAGTCATTCGGATCAGATGACTGGGAAGTAGAGACCACACTAGCTTTTCTTCTCTTTGAGGATGATGCTTCTGAGGTTTTGGCTTTTGTCTTCCTTTGGTAAACTGTAATAGGGTCCGCTAACTCTATTTTCTGAAAAGAAGGTCATATTACAAACTTGGACTAGATAATACAGTTTCCTGTTAAGAAATTTGATGTGTATGACATTCATCTAACCTTCTGATTCTGGATAAATGATATTGATATGCACAACATGATCAAAAATCAACTCCTTGCATATCACCAATTGTAAATTGGAGAGAGTGAGGAGGGGTGATAGAGATAGAGAGAGAGAGAGAGAGAGAGAGATGTTGATAGTAAACCAGTATGAGAAAAGACAAAGGAATCCGCTTATGCATAGTAAGAAAGAGCAAACATGTGTACCTTCTGTTGTCTCTTCTGCTCCTTAGTTAGAGTACCTATTAGTTTGGAAACCCAGCGAGAAACATTTAGTTACTTATTTACCAACATATATAATGAAAACAAAATCTAAACACAGTAGAGTTTTTTGGAGAGATAACACGGACACACAGAGAGTTTCTAAACTGAAGCATCACATCAATGTACAAGGTCTCATACGGCTTCATGCAAGCACCATGCTCATTACATGTAAAGACAACAAACCAATGGCCTGTATCCTTAACGTTTTCAACATGAATCCTCTATTAATCATGTTTTTCAACATCAGGCCACAAATTAGATGCGACATTCAAAGAATTAGACGCGATATTCAAAGGTTCAGACAACAGACATGTGGTATCTCAAGGAATGGACCTTTTTCTGTTGTGCCTTCATTTTTCTTAATTATATCAGAAAAGAAACAATTAGATGAAATGAACAGGGAGACAGACAACACAGATCGTAAAGGTCCTATGAATTATCTGGATTAGGATTCAAGCAAAATTTGCAACATGTTTTAATCCATCAAGATGGCTTTGTGACAAAATCAACTACAAGCTAGTAGAGGAAGAGGAGGGACCCGAACCAGTTTGTCTTTCCTCTACTTTCTTTCTTCCTTTTGTAAGCTTTGAAGCCTAAGTACAATCACAATTACAAGAGGTAATGAAGTTACAAACATTAATAAATGCACCAAAATACAGAAGGATAAACAAAATATGACAGCAAATCAACGGGCAGAAACCTTACATCCGAAGCATTTGTCTTCTGTATAACATCCTTCTTCGTCTTCTGAAAAGTAATGGTAATATGTCAATTGATCCATCAACCAAAATGTAACTTTTAACTGTAGGACTTCATCTTACCAGTCATGGCAGATTGGCAGTCATTACATATGAAAGAAAAAAAATCAAAATTATGTCATTGCGTGAGGCTGAAACTAGCTTAACAAATCTTAACAACTTCCAAGCAGTACGCAACACACTACCATTAGCATAGTCTAGCATGCATGAGATGTCTACTTCAATTTCTAGCATTTCTTTTTACAACATCTAATATATAGATATTAACAGCTCTCAATTGATTACTGACTAAGTACAACTGCTCTGTATAATTGGAATATAGGAGTGATTACCTTATCCTCTGCCTTCTTAAACAGTGAAGATAATGTTGTTTGAACAAGAGACTTCTGATCATTTTCAGGAAGATCTTTAGCTTTCCAAGACTGCTTATCTTGTTTTGAAGCTTGATCTTTACTAGCACTATCCACGTTGTTGATATCGAATACAACAGGGGAGGAGCTTTCTGTATGTGTATGTCGCTAAGGAAATGAACTCTTAGAAAATTATGAAGACTCTTATAAGTCCAGAGATGTATACAAAAGATAGGGCAGTCAAGATGGAAGAGTAATATAAGCATCCTCTCTATAGAACTAGTGAGAAACAATAAGAAGGATATCTATAGTTGTATATCCTTTTTTTGATACAGGATAAACTTTCTCACCCTCCTCTTCAGGCGTTTCATCTCCATTTCCAATAAAATCATCCCCAGACGACGCTTCTGCAAAACTGAACATGGATCCTTATTATCACTAAGAATAATAACTCTAAACCAAGTGCTAAACAAAAGGAGTGTAGAAGGCACCACAACTGTAGTGAGACAAATTATGAATAAATTTAACTACTCTTAGTGAAATTGACAGCGGTAGGAAGCTTGCATAAATGTACAGTCACCCTAGGAAGATAGGGAGCACATAAGTATCCGCAAATTTAACCAAATAAGCCAGCCAGATCGCAAATCCACAAGTGCAGTAAGACACTATACAAATGACCCTCAAGGCTCTCAGAGTAGCAGTGGGAAGAATTTATAATTTATTTTACCTATTGGGGCATACACACACCCACAACTAGTTCACCCATGAGAAAGTTAACACAGGCTTGGTGCTGCCCTTTTTTGGAGAAAAATGCATAATTTTCATGAATAACTTCCCAGTGTTCCCATATGTAGGTTCAAAGGCAAACAATCATGCACGTTCACTGAAAAGAAATTTATGGTTCGAACTACATATAAGAAGGCCCGGCATAGTTCAGGAAAATGATTGGCATCTTACAGATCCCTGAGCTGAATGCATTATGTAAAGGATAGCACAGGAAATACTTGAATGTTTTTCCTGCAGTCCTAGCTGACTCTCGAGCTGGAGTAACAACCGTTAGCTCTTCGTTATCACTTGGACTCTCAGTTACATCGTCTTCCCAATTGACTTTTGGTGAGTCCTCTTCCAAGCATTTGACTGCAGATTTTCCAGAATGTTGTTTACGGTCACATGTAGCCCCTACACCCCCCTTGAAATCATAATCAGCATGTTTTTCCTGGGACCAAAATACGGAAATTTGTGTCAGCAATATCTTAGAAAGTATTTGCTTGAGCCCTAAGCTAATTGAATTTCCTGTACTATTAACTAGCCAGCACACTAATATACAACCAACCACAATCAGGTCCTTTGGGAACTGAAGCTGCAACTCTTCGGGATTTTCCTCTTTTGTTCCAATCCACCAAGCATCTGAAAATACTATCTGGAACAGAAGGTTACATACATGATTATAAGCCCAAACAGAAAATTATTAGGGATGAAGGAAATAGAAAACAAAATATCGGGGAAAAAGATATCTACACTTTTTTTTAATTTCTAACACCTTGTCCCAATTGTGTTTAGTCAGCCTTTGCCTAGCAACTAATGCCAACTTCCTCAGAAAGCTATAATGTAATGAGCAATGCACGGTAACTTTTTACTCCAAAACATGACAGCTAAGATCTCCAACCAGAACATAGCCTCTTGGTTTCATATCAAATCCATGTTTCGGGACACAAATGTTTTAAAGGTTGACAACAAATTTCAACTGTTTTTATGAGTAGTGATGAGGTTGCATTTCACCAAGAAATTCTTCATCAGACATGAGTGAATCGGCTCGGTCTGCCAATCTACAACCTGATATTAATGACTCAACTTTCACTGCAAAATTATATTCACCCACAAAAACTCTACTGTTGTTTCCACATGGCAACTTCCAACGGCATGTGTGGAGCTCTTCATAGTAATTAGTAATATAAACCTACAGGCTGTATTATTGTGTTCCATCATTACCATCAATATCTGGTAGTAGCATATCAGAAGTTATGAAATATAACATATTGCGCGAAAAAATGGAAAAAGAAACAAGCTTGAAAATAACAAGTAGACAGGGAACAATGCTAGTAAAAACCAACCATATTGTCAAAGTAGTCATCACATGTTACATTCTTCCCACCTCTTGAGAACTGAAGCGTCAAGTACCTATTCTTGGGATAAACAATCGTCCCAAACAACTTCATCTTGCCCTACACATTTTCAATAAATTGACAAAGAATCATGCATCTATTTCAAATGAAGCAAATGGATAGGTATTAATAGTAATAGTGAAGCAGATAATTAAAAACCTGCGGGAAATCTAGGTATAGGATGGGGTTTTTGGTGCCGAGGTCTTTGAGCTCGCCGATTTTTCCACCGGAGATCGGGCAGAGCAGGCCGGGGAAGGAGAAGAGATACTTGTTCTTCCGCTGTGACTTCCTGAGAATATCCCGGCCGTGGTGCTTGACCACCGCCTTGTTCGGCGCCAGGGCGGCTGCGTGGCGGCCCACCTTCGCTGGGCTCTGCGACAAAATGTTTCTGGAGAAGGCCAGCTTCTTCAGCTTTGCTCTCTCCTCCGCCTCGGGGTCCGCCGCCGCGCCGCCTTCTTTCTTGCCGATTCGAGCCATTTTCGTAGCTAAGTCAAACTGTGGTGGCTAGAGAAGGCGGGAACCTGTGATTTTGGGGGCGAAATGGCCGCGGCAGTACACAAGATTCCACCTCTAAATCGAGCCACATTTAACTTTACGGTCGGGTTAGGTTTTTTCTACCTAGAATTTAATTACATACTAGGTGGAAATTGGTCAGAATGACCAGATAATGTAAATGACTCTTGATTTTATTGACTCAAATTTTACAAATAAAATTAGTACAGTACCCGTGCGATGCACGAGGCTTTATTATTTCCGTCCTTTTTAAAACATAATTTTGTATTTAAATTTAAATTATATAATAAAGCACGGATCACTGATTATAATTAAACCTAACAAATACTTATTATAAGATACGTGTAATTATTTATATTAATCATGTTGGGCTTGTAAAATATGAATGTTTTTGAAAAATGTGGGCTTCAAAAAGTTCATATTGGCCGAATTTACAATGTTGGCTTCAAAAATTCATATCGGCCCAAACAAAACAGGAAAAATAATCTAATGATCCAGATTACTCAACGCAAATCGGGTTATATTAGACTGAACATAGTATAAATAGTGAAATTATCGGACCAAGGGCTATATTTCTTCCTTTATTTTTCGCCGCTTACAGCTTCTTCTTTCGTCTTTTTTCATCTATCTTCTTCCAACTTTACCGTTTTAACACTGAGGGTCTTATAAATACATATTTTTTTTTTTAGTTTTCATTTAGTTAGTTTTAGGTGTTTTGCACGAAACAAAATATGGTTTGTTCAATTTGAGAGTTTTTATTTTTGATTTTTGTAGTTTCATGTTCGAATTTTTTGGTTTTTACAATTAATCAAAAGAATCTTTCGAATTTGAGTGTGCGCCGGTAGATTTTGTTGATCTTAGTTGTTTAGCCCGAAAAATAAATGTGGAATTTTTATTTTTAAGGTTTTTATGTTCGATTTTTTTACCTTTATGTTCGAATTTTTTGGGTGTTTACGATTAGTCAAAAGAACTCTTAGAATTTGAGTGTGTGTCGGTTGATTTTTTATTTTTTTGATCGGCAAGTTTATTTTATTACACAAATTTTTTTGGCGTCCAAATAATTTTTTTCTTTAAAAACTCGACACGACTGAAAACATACAAATCATAATTATGTGATATCATTGATTTTGATGAAAATGCACACAATTATTATGGGTTATGAACTTGCAAGGTTTTTTAGCCCAAATTAGTGAATGTTGATATCAATTAATTTTAAAAAAGATTGGTATTAAAATAAAACTCAAATTTTTAAAAGCTTTATTTGTACCAAAATTGAGCAATTTGGTTATCAAAACTAGTATCCGTGATTGAAGGCATATTTGAATGTTTCTCATTTAATAAATAAAATATAAAAACAAAACTTGCCCGAAATAGTATGTAATTAATGTTGCTACATTTTTTTGCTTACTATTTTTGGTAAATAGTAATTCTTATTATATAAGTATAGATTTAACAAATAATCATATTAAATAGACATTTACACATATACCTTCAACACAAAATAAACCCTCCTCACCCTTGCCACATTCCTTCCTTCCCAATCTCTCTCTCGACCTTGTTTTTTTTTCTCCTGCAACTCCTCGGTCTCGCGCGATCTCGCTCTTTTTTTCTCTGCTTTTCTTCAACAATTTTTCGTGGACAATCACTATGGAACTTTCCCTCGTCAATCCAGGTACGAATTTTTTCAATTTTGTCAATTTGTTCTTTGTTTGGTCCATTGATATTGGTGGAGCAAGTTTGATTGTTGTATGTGAATTCATTTGATGGAATTGAAGATGATAATTTGTGCACTCTATGTGTTTGATGAAATGCTTGTAGGATTGAGTTAATGAGGTAAGATAGTAATTTGTGCACTCTATGTGTTTGATAAAATGCTTGCTATGCTAGTTGTTGTATACTTGGAACCATTAAAAATCACTTAAATTGTAACTATATTGAAGGTATAGGTGTATTTAATCGACTGGGATGGAAATATAACCATAACGAATGTACTATCGTTCTGGTTATATCGATGGAATGACATTGTTAACGATTCTATCTTCGTTATATATGTGACCGCGCGTCGCAACGCGGCAAAATTAAAATTTATATTTTCCTCGACTAACCTCTACTAACTAGTAGTAGTGGCGAGCAAAGAGTCGATCCCACGAGGAGTGTGAATCAAATCGTGAATTTTCTCGTATTAATTGAAATTATAAAAAGCGATAAATGGGGGGGTTTTGATTTAATAACTAAACTACCTAAAAATCTAATGAAATAAATAAAATCTAAACAAGAAAATAAAAATAAAAATAAATAAAATAAGAGAAAGCTTCTAGTTCACGGTTCCGTCTACACCCTCGACTGACTCGTCTAATCAATTCTGGTATCAAATCTCGCTATCTTATGAAATTACTAGCCCTAGGCAACGACACGGTCAGTTACCCGAATTTTTCCTTATTTTTAATTTAACCGCGAGACGCTCTACGATTAAACCTGACTTCTTGTACAGTCCAGAAAAACGTTTTCAAGATTTAATACAATTAGCCGCTTTACGAATTAGAAAAATAGGCTAGACTAAGTAGTGAACTCAACCGCGTTCGTTCACTTAATTAGGCCGTGTTATCCCCGGTAGTTACCATCTTCCGGTTACCTCTTATGAATTAAACACAACAACAATTACGGATTGCAGGTCTAATTCAGATGTAGATATGAAAAGCCTAATCTAGGTGATCAATCTAAACAAGACTAACACATCATGGTGAATTATTCAAAATAACACAAGCAATTCCAAAAAGATAACTCAATAATCAACCACGAAAATTAATTAAACATCGTCAAGTCATAGGGTTCGACATCACCGGAACTAGAAATAAAATCTACTCTAACATAATAAATAAAAAAGAAAAAATAAATAAAGGAGAGAGATTAATTATCTCCCTTGTGTATGGGTGCGGCTTCCCTCCGCAATTCGTCGGGCTCCTCGTGTGAGTACTACGCTCGCGACTCTCTTTTCTGTTCTTTTTTTTCTTCTCTGGCTGCGTGCGTGAATTCTCCTCCTTTTATAATTCTTGCTGCTATTTTCTTTTTATAATGTGACTTGGTGGCTGCGTGTATATTTCTTCTCCAAGCAATTAAATAAATAATAAGTGTCCTCCAAATGATACTCCAGGCCTGCGTATTAAACCCTTGGATGTTCTCTTTTAATTTATTTCCTTGGGCCTCCCTTAAAATTGGGCTTTTTATTTAATTCTTTAACAATTGCGTCCAAATATGTGAACAATATTGGCCCGAGTATGGGGTACCAGCTCTGTTGGTAGCAGAATATGGGGTACCCCCGTACTGTCTGCTTCAACCTTCCTTCGACGTCTCGTCATCCATAAAAACACTCCAATATCCTAAAAATAAACCATAAAAATATCAAAGCACCACAATCCATCTAATAAATAAATAAGTCGAAAAACAATATAAGTGCGATAAAATTAAGCATATAAAAGTACGCTAATAAATATATAAATATGCACTCTTTCCGACCAATCAATATGACATTAGGACGATATTTTAAACTCGTTATCGTGTCGATATTTTAGGACGATATTCTATCTTCGATGGAATGACGTGTTAACGATTCTATCTTCGTTATCTATGACATTAGAACGAAGGTAGAATCGTTGTAGTTGTATTCGATCTACAAAATTGTCACTCATCTAAATAGTAACTTCACTTTGCACAATCTTTATCTAAATTAAGTGTATGTATTTTATCCTTCATATTAATTAGTGATTGTTTAATTAGTATCTAATAATTTATCCCAAAGTCCAGATTTCATATGTTTAGGTGTGTGATAAGATTGTGCCAATGATTTTTTAGTTTCACTAGTCTACAATAACTTGAGGATTTTTTTTTTGTTTTCTGCTTTGAAGAATGACATGATAAATTTGCATGAAAAAAAAAAAAATAATAAAGCTTGTTGACAGGGGATTAGAGCACCCATGGGTACATCTAAAATGTAGCTCTCAACTCTTGGTTTTCAGTCTTTGTATTTCAATGAAGTATGCAATTTTGTTACTATATATTTATTCACCTAACTAAAGATGTTAAATAGACTCGCACTAACAGTTTTGCAAGAGTAAAAACGATCTAAGTTAAAAACGATCATTTTTTTTAATAATAAAAAATTAAACATGAAAACAAATTATACAATGAAATACCGTAGTTGAGTAATATATATTGAACAAAATAAGTAAAACTATTTTTCTTCCTATAACAAGACAAATATAGATATTAAAAATTTTATTTGTATTAATATAAATAAAATGAGTTGTCTTTCTGATGAGTTTTCTTTAAATGAGTTGTCTTTCTTTTCTTCTTTTAGGAACGGAAATGGAGTTAGCGTACGATATACCTTCGTCATGCTCAGGAGTCGTGACCAATAGGTGCGACCTCAAGGTTGCCGATCATGTATTGGAGAAGCTAAATGATGTACATAAAGCTCTATTTGTGAAATCATGCTTCCGGCCACTAGTGCACATTCCCAATTTGAAATTGGCGTCTCAAATAATCCACCACCTTCTTGAACAGCTATTATAGAAATTTTGGAATGACTGTAGTCACTGTATAATGCATTATATAATAGAGGTAGTACATTGTTATAGCTATAATTTATGTCCATTAGATAAAATAATACATTACATAATGAATGTACCTTCTTTATAATAGCATTTTATCAGCCCTTCGCAACCCGATTGAAGGAGTTCGATGCTGAGATCCGGGACCTCGACATCGAACTCCTTCGTTTACAACGATGATACAATCGTTATGGTTCATTTTCGATCAAAAACACCAAAAACTCGATATATAATCCATTACAAAGATATTACACTCTTTGTAGGTACAATTTGACTCATTTTCATGCAAAATAAGGAATGTACAAAGATTCTAGATGATCCATCCATTTTTCAAGAACAAAAAAAAAGAAGTGTATAATTATGAGTATTTCCAATTTCGATATGAGTACTACCACGCTCTAATGGGTCCAAACCATCATTCAACGTTGATATATGACCAAGAACAATGTTTTACACGTGATTCCATAAAAAAAACCAAAACGGGAGCACTTTCGTTGCGATTTGCACTATAACAAATATA